TATATATGTATGTATGTGTGTATTTTAAATTGGCATTGAGAGCCCTGGGCTCTCAAGGTCAGTCTGCATTCCTTTCTCATACCAGCCCAGGCCACCCACCTGCAGGGGGGTCCGTCACAGGCTCCTGGAAGAATTTTACCAGAGCCACCCTCCTCACCTGTCCTGCCCTCTGGGTGACAGTATCTATAAGATTGGAATTAAACTCTTTGAATGTTGGGTAAAACTTGCTTATAAGGCAGTTTATGCCTAATATTTAGTTTTGAGGTGACTGGTTTGGGGGAAGTTAGAGGGTATTAAAAGGAGGAGTTTTAAAAACTATTTTAAATTTATGTGAAAGGTAGAGTCCATTTATGTGTAATACTATTGATTGAGTCAATTTTGGTAATGCATATATTTTAGAAAATTATCCAATTCATCTAGGTTTTCAAATTTATTAATATAATATTGTTCTTAATGTTTTCTTGTGAGCTTCAAAAAAATGTGTATGAGAATGTCCACTTTTTCATGTTTAATATTGTGCCTTCTATCTTTTTACTTGGTCCCTTTTAGTAGAGGTTTATTTTATGAAACTTCAAAGAACAAGATTGTTTTTTGGTGTTCTGTTTATTGATTTTTTTGGTAGTCTCATTAATTCCTACTCTTTGTTTTCTTCTTTGGCTTTTTAGTTCTTCTAGCTTCTTGAGTTTAGTACTTAGCTCACTTATTTTCAGTCTTTGATTTCTAATAAACCATTTGGTTGTATTCAGCAAGTTTTGTTACAGAGTAACTTTATTTTTATTTCTCTATTGTAGCTGTTATGAGTTTCTCTTTAATCAATGCATTATCTGTTAATGATCTTTTGTATTTTTTCATTAAGGTGATGACTTTGTTCATTTCTCCTTCTAGGCCCGACATTTTACTCCATATATTTTGAGGCTATCATATTGCATCCTAATATACGATTGACTTATTCTGTGTATGGATGAATCTTATTATTTGAAATATTTCTTTATCCCTATATTGCTCTGGGCCTTAGATTTTGTTTTCGCTCATATTAACATACCGACACTGGCTTTAGTTAGTATTTTCCTGGTATATCTTTTTTCCAGCCCTTTACATTTAAACCTTCTGGATTGCTTTGCTTAAATGTCTTTCTTGTAAATATATAGCTGGCGTTTATGATCCATTTATAGCTACTGTGATTACTAATGTATGTGCACTTCTGTCATTTTATATTTCCTCTTAACCATGTCTTTCCTCGTCTGCCTTCTGTCTCGTTTGTTCTTCCATTAGGCTGACTCAGTTGGTTCACCCCTCCCCCGCCATATTTCCTTCGCTGGCTTGGAATTGATGCACTCTATTTCTTTTATTATAGAAGTACTAAAACAATATTGAAAACATGCACCTACACTATCTAATATTATGTGGTACCTTTATCTGAACAATTCGGGGACCTTAAGAGATACTAATTTTGATCTAGTCTCATCATCCAAATCATTTTTGTCTGGTATTTTAGTTTCACTTTGTTCATAAGTTTTCCTAAATTAGACATGATTTTTTAAAAGCCAGTATCTATTTAGATTTATTCATGTTTTTACTACTGTCTTTTTTTTTCATTGGTTTCTGACTTAATTTTTACAACCACATTCTTCTTGTACCCCTCTCTTTTCTAATGGGGTAATTTGGTTTCATACTTAATATTTAAACGTTGGCTCTATCTGGGTTTAATTGGATATAAGAAACATGGTACAGATCTAGCTTTGTCATGTCCATATGGCTAACCAATTGCACTCATCTAGTTTTATTGAATAATCTATGCATTATATATTTGAGTCTATTCCTTTTTTTTTTTTTTTTTTTTTGAGCCATCCTGCCACCTGTTGGCAGCTCAGCTCAAGCCGGGAATCGAACCGCTGTTGCTCAGAGCTCGCACTCTTGAGCGAGCTCTTAACCAACTGAGCCACTCGGCTGGCCCAAGTCTATTCTTGAATATTCTATTCTGTTCTAATGATACATTTGTAGATTCAAATTTATGTGGGGATTTATTTAAAAGAAGGCATTTCATATTGTTGGGGAAAGGATACAGGTTAATTGTTGGTCCAATACACTTTTAATTACAGTATTTTGCAGTGGATTCTTCATATCTAGTAGTGTAGGTACTCCCTGTCAAAGTTCTTTTTTAGAATTTTCCAAGTGATTTTCTCAGTCCTGTTTTTCTAGAACAACTTTGACGTCATTTTATCAAGATCGTCTCCTAATCCCTCCCCACCCCTGAAAAAAAAACAAAACCAAAAACAAGCAAACCTCTGAGAGTTTAATTGGGATAATATAATAGAATTCATACCTTTATAATATTAGTATTCTTGTCCTGATCCAAGTATATTTCCCCATTTAGTCAAGTCTTTTTATATTCCTCAGCAGAATTGTATAGCTACTTATATAACCCTTTCACATCTCTTTTAAAATCTATTCCTATCTATTTTGTTTTTAAACATTATTATAGGTCTACCTGGTTCATCCCTCTTCTAGTCTGTGCCGGGCAGCTCATTTATTTTTGCAGTTGTTGTCCTCTGAAATACTTTTATAGCTTCATAACCTTCTTATCAACAGTACATGCCCATTTCTTGGTTGTTAAATGGCACCTACATTAATAGAATTCTTCATGAGCCTATTGAAAAAAACACTTCTCTGGGGAACAGCAAAAAACATCTTTACCGGGAGAGCTGGGCACCTGAGACCCAGACTAGCTATAGGACTTGAAATCTGCCTGAGGGTTTGCCCCTGGCCTCTCTGCTTACTTTCCAGTCCTCCATCTTTCTCTCTTCCTAAGACTTGACACTTGGAATTGACAAGGCAGCAGACCTCAAATTTACCATGCTTGAAACAAAAATCCTCCTCCAGCCAGCTATTTCCCCCCTCTTTCCTGTGTTTTCCTCCTTTTTTATGATTGTGGGAAAATGCACATAACATAAAATGGACCGTTTTTTAAGTGTACAGTTCGGTGGCACTAAATACACTCAGAACTGCTTTGCCATCCTGAACAGACACTCTATACCAATTAGGCAATAACTCCTCACTCCTGCCCACCCCCAGCCCCGGGTAACTTCTTTCTGTCTCTATGAATTTCGCTATTCCAGGTGTTTCAGATAAGGGGGACCCTACGATATTGTTTCTGGCTCATTTCGTGTCACATTCCCCTACCAGGCCTTCGTTACTGCTCTTCTCCCTCTGTGGTGTCCCCTTTGACTCATTTCAACCCCCCCCCCCGCCCCTCCTCCCCCGCCATGCCACCATGCCCAACCAGCTGCCAAGGTCCCTTGGTACCTTCATGATAATGCCTTTTACATTTCGTCTGTTTTCTGCACACGGCCACCTCATTGCCACATGCCCCATGATTGCAACTGGTACGATACTGTCAGATGATTTTTTTCCTTTGGTTAATAACATTATATAAATTTCAAGTGTACAGTTCTATTACACATCATTTATATACCACATGATGTGCTCACCACCCAGAGTCAGTTCTCCTTCCATCACCATATATTTGATCCCTGTTACCCTCTTCATCCTCTCCCCCTTTCCCACTTCTAACCACCATACTGTTGTCTGTGTCTATATGTTTGGTTGGTTTGTTGCTTTCTGTTTTATATCCCACAGATGAGTGAAATCATATGGTTCTTGTCCTTTTCATCTGACTTCTTTCACTTACAGTGATACTCTAAGATCCATCCATGTTGTTGCGAATGGCAATATTTCATCCTTTGTTGTGGCTGAGTTACTGACAGCGGGCAAGAACTTTTGTTAATTACCCGAAAGACACAAAAAAGAAATTGGGCATTGCACCCTCTTTTCAAATGTATGCCATTTTTTTTTCTTACGAAAGCCTCACACTCTTTTTAGAGGTCAGAATTTGAATGTTACTATTAAAAGATGACTCTCCCACCAGTTTTACAGTTACTTTTCATATATGCTCCTATTTTCCACCACACCCCTCGCCAGCACTGGTGAGAAAAGGAAGAGTGAAAGGGTTTGAATCATAAATTCAGTGACTCCTGGTACTTGCCAATAGTAATAAAAAACATGCAAAGACTGAGTGGCTGAGATGAATGTATTAAAAACCATTATCTATGGGTTGGGTGAGAAGTACTCATGGGGGCTGAGTGGTAATCTCACCCATTGCATTCCCATATTGTTCTCATTTTCTGTGCTCTAAAATATTAGAGACACCTTTGCTTGTCCTTAACGCACTAAATCTATTCTGTCTCCCTGTTTTCACTACCCCAGAAAAAAAGAGGAAGATTTGCAGACCTACTGGATGCTAAATATTTAAGGACCACGTTACAGATTTGGGTCATATGGTAAGAATGTAATTATTGCAAAGTGAGTTTTAAATAAACACACATTTGGAGAAAGCTTACAGAAGTAAATCCACTCTGAATGGTACTGGGGAGGAAAACACAAGACTCCAGCAATGTTTTATCTTTCTGGTAACACCACCAACCAAAGGAATATGTAAGATAATTGTTAAAAAGAAAGAAAAAAATGTCCTGTAGACTGATTGTCTACAACCAGTTTTTTATTTTTCATCTGAGCGTATGAGCTCACGTTCTAACCTGTTGCAGCGTGGTTCCCCATTACAAATCTACTCACCTGGCTAAAATTTAAAAAAAAAGGCTGTACCAAGTGTTGGGGAGGATGTAAAGTAACTAGAACTTTTACACACTGTTGATTGCAGTTCAAGTTAATACAACAACCACTCTAGAAAACTGTTTGGAGGTCCCTATGGAAAATATGCTTATCCTATGGATGGCTCAGCAGTTCCACTCCTGGGTTTATACCCAACAGAAATGCATACGTGTCCACCAAGAGACATTTACAAGAATGTCCATAGCATTAGTTTATTTGTAACAGCCCCAAACTATAGACAACCCACAAGTTCATCAACAGTGTAATGGGTGAACTGTGTTATATTCATACATATGAATATGTAGTATGTGACTGCATTTATGTAAAGATAGAAAACAGGCAAAACTAACCCACAGTGTTGGGTTCAGGAAAAGGTTGTCTACCTGCCTTTTTTCAGATATACTTCCTATTAATAGGTCTATCTCCTCCTTTTGAGACTTTGTGATTTAAAAAATACTTTTAATTATTGGAAATTAAACGAGTTAAAGTTACTTTGATAATTAGGGAAGGTATTGTGATTGTTTTCTTTTTTAATATTTCATTATGAAAATCCCCAAATGTGTGTGAAAGCTGGGAGGATACCATGATGAACTCTGATTCTCTCGTCACCCGGATCTGACAGTCATTGCTGTTCACCCATTTTTGCTTTAGCTACATTTTTCCTGCGCTGAAGTATTTTCAAGCAAGCCCCAGGCATCAGGACATTTCATCCCCAGATACTTCATTAAGTGTCTCAACTACTTGAGGACATTTTTTTAGATGACTCCAAACCTATAATCACACTGACAAGATTAACAGTCATCACGTTAATATCATCCATTATCCAGAACATATATGATTTCCCCTGATTGTCCCCATATGTCTTTTACAGCTGGCTTTTACAACCATTTCTGCAAAACTGAAGGGGGGCGGGGGGACAAGGGGATTTCTGGGAGGCAGATATTATTCTTTTTCTTGACTTTGATTTATGAACTTTTCTGTATGTTATTTTTATATCTCAAGGATATGGATGAAAGAGTAGGAAGAAAACATAAAGCAAAAGCAAAAACCTTCTGTAGCTCCCCAAGGCCTGCAAAAGACCCTTTGTGATAGGCAGAATTCTAAAGATAACCCCAAAATGACCCCCAACTCCAGGGAACTCAATCAAACACTAATTTGGATGCTGATGTGAGGGGACTGTGTAGGTGTATTTAAAGTTACAGGCCTTAAAGTAGGGAGATTATCCATGATTTGACAGGGGCCCCATCGGATCACTCGAATCCTTAAAAGTAGAGTGATTTCTCCCACTGGTATCAGAGCTGCAGTACAAGAGAAAACAAGCAAAGAGGCAGAAGGAGAGAACAGAGAGATTCAAAGCAAGAAGACTCGACCCCTTGCTGCTGGCTGGCTTTGAAGACAGGGAATGAAAGAAGCCTGTCGGAGCTGAGAACCACTGATCAACACCCAGCAAGGAAACGGAGCTGAGTTCTGCCAGCCATCTGGGCCAGGTTGGAAAATGGATTCCCCCACCTCCCCGCCCCAAAGGTGTGCGGACCTGTCTGCACTTTGATTTCTGCCTCTGAGACTCGGAGCAGAGAAGTCAGCCAGACCCACAGAACTTCTGACCTCCAGAGCTGTGAGATACGAAATGTGTATTGTTTTAAGCTACTACATTTGTGCTAACTTGTTACAGCAGCGACAGAAAACGAGTCGGAACTTCAAACGCCTTCACCAGGCTTGTGGGGCCCTCCACTCCTGGCCCCATTCTGCCGTTTCCCTCGCTCTGACTTTTCCACCTGGGCCACTCTCCCCTCTTCGACTGCTGCTCAGGGTGCTGCCCCCTCCTTCGGGCCTGGCGCCAGCTTTGCCTCACGTCCACCTTTTCTCACTTCCAGGCTGGGCATCTCTTTCGCCTACTATGGGGTCATCCTGGCCAGCGCCGAGCTGCTGGAGCGGGACCTGGTCTGTGGTTCTCGGTCCGAGTCTGAAACGGTGGTGACTGTGGGGGTCTCAGAGGAGAGCCAGAGCCCTTGTCACTGCCACATGTTTACCCCCTCTGACTACCAGACCATGATTATCAGCACCATTGGTGAAATTGCTCGTAAGTGTCTCCCTGTGCATTGGGCCCCTCTGTATTTTGGATGGGGGACATGCAACTCACAGCCTTAGAGGAGGGAAATGTGACCCTGTCATAGACGTGGCTCCTGCTGGTAGCACTGAACAGCTGGCATGTCTCCAGTGTGGACTGGTGTGGGGAGGGAAGCCCGGAGAAGGACAGCTTTGAATCACTGAATTATACCACTTCGAAGATGCATTTTTCTTTCTTCACATTGTAACATCTCTGAAATTGGGATGTCTTACAATGGCTCATTAGAGTTAGATTTCCAGTACTGTTTCTGTTTCAGTAGGCCTAAAATGATGGTACTTAAAATTCAATGGCACCTTGAATTTGACGAAAAACGGTATAAAACATTTAAACTATAGTCTAGCAAGTTGGCAATTTACAATGGGCCTACAGGACATAATAAGCGTCCTGGGCATGAAATGTCCTTTATATACGCCAGTGCTTGTTGTACTTTTCCCACGTGGGTCCAAGAATGTCGTAGGAGTCACGAAGTTGATGACAATGTGACTGGGTCTTGGCAGGAATACCCACGAGGCCTGGATGAAATTGCTTCTTTCTGCAATGACTAGGAGGAACCCACGCCAGTGTTGATAAGTGCCAGTGGCATTCAAGGTTCCAGGAATTGTCTTTGTCATTTGCTTTCCAGTGAATCCTTTGAATATCCTGGGCATTAATTTCCTGGGCCGACGGCTGAGCCTTTCTATCACCATGGGATGCACGGCTGTATTCTTCCTTCTCCTCAATATTTGCACCTCAAGGTATTTTTTTCTCTCTGGTTGCTTCAAACTAATCTAGTTTTGTGCAGTCATTTTAAGATGGGGTCTCCTGACCCACAGTGTGCAGTGGGGAGTTGGGGCAAGTCCCTTTCACCAGGAGTGTAGAGAATGGGGTGCTTGCCTACAGCGATCTTGACTGGTACCTACCCCCTCCATTCTCACTTCCTCTTCCCACGGGCCTGGCTCCTCTCCAGTTATCACAGGATATGGGTACCAGTGTGGGTGTACTCACTTCACCCATCAAAATATTTAGAAGCTTTATGCAAAACTTCCTGAAGAAAGGGGACTCTAGTTAATCCCAATTATCCTGACCATTATCAAGATAGTCTAGTGATATACACCATACATAGTTTAGTGATATACATATTTCACTCTTAATTTGCAACCCTCGAGTGGCCTCAGTGGTAATATACATCACTTATTCTGCAAACTGTCTGCATCATTTTTGGGGGTGGTGGCAGCAGGTGTGCTAATCTGGGGGGCCAGGCTGGAATGGCAGAGGTTGGGGAGTGGAGAAGGCGGGGAGTAGGATTGAGCGTTTGAGTCAGGACCCCACACTCAGGCCAGCTGAAGAGCCACAGCCCCCCGGGACCTGGTGATGTGTGGGTGTGTGTGAGCATTTATAAGGCCCTTGGCCGCGGCCATGGGAGGCCGTCCATGCTGCCTCTGGTAACGTCTCTCCTTCCTGTTCCGTAGTGCCGGCCTCATCGGCTTCCTCTTCATGCTGAGGGCTTTGGTGGCAGCCAATTTCAATACCATCTACATTTACACTGCGGAGGTTTGTTTCGGGGAAGGGGTTGGTTACCTAAGGGAAAGGCGTGCGAGGTGAGCTACTCAAAGGGGGTGTCCGTCCACAGATCATGCGTCCCTAGCTTCCTGTTGACTTTTGACGATTTTCTATAAATATCCCATTAAAATGACGCCAGAAGGTTTATTTGATCTGGAGCTCCCCCTGCCTCACTGAATCGAGTGAGAGTCAGTGTCTGAGAGGAAAGAGAGGGCCTTCTCCATGTCTCCCTTAACAACATGTGTGTGAAAAATAACTTGGGGCCCTAGCACCATGCTTCCAGAGGAAATAGGGTCTGGGAGCTGCATGTTGCTGTTAAAATGTAAAACTCCCCATGTGTCTCTCTTTTTGAAGTTAGAATGTATTCTTCACCTTTATTCTTTTGAAAGAGCACATCCCCCTCTATCTCTTATTTGCCGCATGTAGCTTAAATTCAAACATAATAGTAATTTTTTTTTCTTTGCTGAATGGATACCTCTGTACATGCGGGAGCTAGGCGATCTTCTCACAAACCCTCCCATTAAAGCGCGAATAACCCTAGAGATAAACTATCTGAATAGGAAACTTAGTATTTTAACTGCTTTTGCCATTCATTGAGCTAGAGAAAACAGAGCTACAGGGACTGATACAGCTGCATTCATTTCCATCTCAGGAAATGCAGAGGCTGTTCAAATTACAGATATGACATGGCAAAAACCATTACAGCCACAGAGAAATATTCTCCCCCACCCGCAGATTAAAAATAGGACATTATGACATACTCAGCATATACATACTACTTGATTTAGTTCCATTAACATCTCCTAAAATTATTTTGTGAATTTATGAACCTAAAAAAAATCAGCGTGCTTCTAAAGTTATATTTGGAATATTCCATTTAACATATATTTTGGAATGTGTTCATTTAAGAGTCATTTCTAAGTATTGATTTTTTTCTGATACTTGTTAAAAAAACCACAAAGTCATGTATCTGAAGATCATTGTCTTCTGTTATTCCATCTCCCCAATTGTCAAAATATAAACAAAATATTTTATTGATATTATATAAAGAACATCACTGTGTATCTGAATCCATTGTTTTTAGGTATAGTCAGCAGCTTCATTTTCTAGAAAAAAAAAAGAAAGTTTTTTTTAAAAACAAAGACATTCTACTCCCAGACCTTCTCCTAGAAGACCAGGAAAACCCTCTGAGGCAGGAAGTCATTTTGCTTTTGCATTTGACACATGGTGACTAATTAGCTGTGGCCCAGTATAGGGGCTACATGCTTTACATTAGCGACATGGTACAAACGGTTTTATTGGTATTGTGTAGCATTAAGAGAAAATTGTCCCGAGTTTTGAAAAACCATTCTTTCACATCAAGTTTTCTCCCTGCAGTCTTATTTATTTAATAATATTTGCTTACTTATTGATCTTCTGCCAGTTCCTATAAGAATTCTGAATGAATGAGGTACAGATTAATTAGGCTTTACTATGAATGCAAGAAAGGTGCAGCAAGAAAGTAGATAATGCCATCAGATTCTGCAGTGAGAACATGGTGGTGCATGGTGGAGCTTGTACCCAGCACTCTGGTTAATTCTTCTCATGCATCTGGATTGAAGGTTTCGTTGAATCAGTATTATTTGGAGAGTATTTTCTTTCCTTTCAGTGGAATCACCTTTATATATTTATAGCGCTAAGGTGGAATTCTGATTCCAGAGATAACCTTTCTAAAAGTATATTTGGAATATCCAATTAAGCACATAATTTGGAACATGCTCACTTAAAGGATAATTTCTAAGTGTTTTTTGGGGGAGGAATAGTTATTGTTTAAAAATTCAAATTGTGTGCCTGAGAAAATAAATATCTTCTATATTCTACATAACTATATCCTACACAGAATATTTGGTATTTAATATGTATATATATACCAGAGCCTGACCCGGGGAGGGAAGGCAGAGGAGAGAGGAGATGCCTGAATTTTAATTGACGCTCTGTGCTCCACCGTCCAGGTCTACCCCACGACGATGCGTGCTTTGGGGATGGGGATCAGTGGCTCCTTGTGTCGCATTGGTGCGATGGTGGCACCATTTATATCCCAGGTACAAACCCAGGAGTCTGCAGGGAGGAAGGGTCTAAGGGAGGTGGGGAAGAGGAACCATGGGTCCCTTCATGTTGAGGGTTAACCAAAGATTTACTTAATGTGTTTTCTTGAGGTGCCATTTTCCCATTGTTTGGCGAATTTTGGGAGGGAAAAAGGTGAAATTAATGCTTCCAGGCTTCCACTCAACTCAAAAGCAGGTATTGCAGTGCAAGCAGGGTTTGGATTTTGGGGGGCGTTGTTGGGCGAAGATGCAAAAGAAATGGATGACAAAGGAACTTGAGCAGCTGAATGGCAGTGGGCTCTAACCTTGACCCTGTCCAGGGGTGCAATGGAAAAACACAGCACGGAAGTGCAGGGAGGCTGAGCCCAGGTACAAGGAAGTGGCCTTGTGCTTGGGCAAGTCAGACGTACGCTTGGGATAAAATCTAGGGGTGACCAGGACCCGTGGATGGAGGCCTCCTGAGATCTCTAAGGTATGAGAAGTTGATAACCTGTAAAGGGAAATAGCATTTCAAGTAGGATGATAGCTGTTACAGGGCCTGTAGATGGGACAGAGGTTGGTGGGGTGTGTTCCAGGAATAGGAAATTACTGTGGTGAGCACAATGGAGAGAAATATTGGGGAGAATGTGTCTCACTGGCATATCGAAGGCTCTGCATTTTTTCTTTGTAGTGGGAAATAATTTTAGGGTTTTAAACAGGTAAGTGACATGATCAGTTTAGCATTTTAAAAAAAGCTAGGTAGTGAATTGTTGGGGCAGAGGAACAAGGGTGGAACAATCTCATAATAAGACTGATTTTACATGGCCATGGATGGCTCACATGCAATGGGAAATTTCAGAATTCTGGAAAACCCTTTCTCTTATTGTAGAAAGATATAGAGGAAAAGACTCCATAAAACATTTAAATTTCTGCACAGAAAAAAAGTCTACCATGTATTAAGGATGAAAACCCTGATTGAATTGTCACAGCTGAGCGATGATTTTGTTGTCCTACCAAATACGCGATCCTCTCTGGAAGCTTGGAGACCCGGTGGATTGATGCATAAGATGGCTCTGAGAGCTTCACAAGGTCATGGGAATGAAAAATCGATCCATTTCATATTTTCATAAGTGATTTCTAAGCAGCAGTAAGCTTATTGAGAAAACTGTGCATTGTCCAAGATAAACAATTCCAGACACAAGTTAAAGTGGTCAGGACAGATTTTGATCAGTAATAACTCCTGCAATAGGGAAAACAGTCCTGTGTGAACTGAATTCAACTTTGAATTGTGGACACGTAGAGGTTTTCAAAGGAGAATGAGCGAGTGTGATGAGGAGCGTCCTACTGCAAAAAGCGGGAGTGGGAGTTTGCTCCATGTGAAAACCCGGACAGGAGCCCTAGTTTCAGGTGTTGACTGGAACAAACAGTAAATTCTTTGGGCAGCCTTGAGTTATGTCAGGTGGGCACTTGAAGGGGCTCAGATCATTCTACGGCTGCAGCGTTGAGCCATTTTTTTACTTCAGTCTGTGTGTGTCCTGACATCTAAAGTCAGTCTCTTGTAGGCAACATAAAGATGGGTCTTGATTTTTGTTTTATTAATCCTTTCAGCCATTCTGTCTTTTGATTGAATTTATTAGCCCTTTTATGGTTAAAATAATTATTGATATGTATGCCATTTTGTTGTCTCCTGGCTTTGCTCTTTTCTTCTCTTGCTCTCCCTTTGGGATTTGATGATTTTCTGTAGTGAAACGCTTTATCGTTTGTGTATGTAATACAGGTTTTTGCTTTGTGGTTACCAAGAGGCTCACATAAAATATCTTATAGATATATCAGTCTATGTTAAGTTGTTAAGTTCAAATTTGTCCTAAAGCCCTCCATTTTTACTCCTCACCCCCATGCTTTATATTTTTTAATGTCATAATTTACAGCTTTCTATCTTGTGTATCCATTAACAAATTGTTGTAGTTATACTGACTACTTTTGGTGTTGTGCAGAGGGGGAATGCAAAGATGGCCTCTGCCAGCCTCCCTGATCTCTGGAGAGGATTGTAGTCGGCTACTATATGTGCATTTAAATGGAAGCCTGTCCCCTGGCCACAGCTATGAAGATAAGCTAATAGGCCTCTTTCACGGAAAGACTGAGAGTGTATTTCAGGCTGCTGTCTCTGCTCTGTGCCCTGGTTGGGGTGGAGGGCAGGCAGCCAGGTAAGAACTGTTTTAGTTTGTTATAGTCCTAGGGGACCTGTGAACATAAGGCCTGCTGGCCACCAGAACCAGGTGATCAAGGTGTGTCCCCTGCATGACAGCCACAAAAGCTCGGGCCCCTGACGTATGCACAAGCCCCTTTCTGGAAGATACTGGTGACCTTGAGTGAGTCAGAAGGAGAGTGCAAAGATGGTACCCGCCGGCCTCTCTCTTTGGAGAAAAGTATTTCAGTAGCTCCTAGATGGGTGTTAAAGTCTGTACGTGCCCCTCAGGGTGTTGCTTTAAAATAAGAAAATAAGCCTCATTTACAGGAAAACTGGATGTGTTTCGGTGGGCTGCCTGTGTGCTGGTTCCTGGGGGTGAGGAGCCAGGAGTCCTTTAAGATGTTTCTCAGTTGGCTCTGGCCTCCTGCGTCTACAGACACAAGCCTGTTGGCTTTCAACGCTAGATGTTTGGGGGCTTGTCACTCAGGTACAGGTCTTAAAAGTTGGGGTGCCATCTGTGGGGTTCATACCCTTAGCCCTTCAGGAAGAAGCTCAGAGCTGTGAATTCCCCTCTAATTGTGGGTGCCAGGAGTGGAGTTGATGACAAGATTGTGTCTCACTCAGCCTCTACCACATATTTTGATGTGTGTTTTTTCTCTTTTGCCGGATGTATAGGAGTCATTCAGCTAGTGTTGGGGTTTCTTTCACAGGAAGTTGTTACATGTGTAGCTGTAGATTCAGTGTGTCATGGGAAGAGGTGAGCTCAGCACTTACCTGTGTCACCGTCTTGATCCAGAACCTTCAGGTACTTTTTATAGTTTGCCTTTTGTGCACAAAAATACGTTGCAGACATTTTTTTATTTAAATAAATATAAAACACAAGGCCTTTCCACGCTGAAAAATATTTCATTGTATGTATACTCAAAAGTTACTTTTTGATTATCAGCTCTGTATTGTTGAATGTCTAGACTATTTCAGATATTTTTCTATTATAAACAACAGGTATCACCATCCTTGTGCTTACATTTTTATCCAGCTGTGCAGTTATCTCCTTAGGATACATTCCTAGAAATTGGACTGGTAGCTCAAGGGGTCTGTCTGCTCACTTTACATTTTGATAGATTGTGCTAGAATTCCCTTTGGGAAGCTTGTACCAATGCATAAGAGCCCCGCTGCTGCACACATCTGTTAAGTCTTTTTCATCTTTGTCAATGTCACTGTCCATAAATGGTAACTCTTGTTATTATAATTAGTGTTGCTTTGATTATGAAGCAAACGGAATATTCTTTTTATATTTTAACTGGGTATTTTACCTTTTTTAGTTTGCCCATTCAGGTCCGTGCCTGTTTTTCAACTCAGTCCTTAAAACATTGATCTGTGACAGTCCTTCATATAAATGCATGTAGAGGATTTTAACTATTTTTCTGACATGTGGCAAATACCACCCCCCCGCCCCAATTTTCAATTTGTCTTTCATTCTTATGTTTTCTTTTCTCTGTACAGAAACTTTAAGTTCATAGACACTTAAATTTATCATTATTTTTCTTTACAATTTCTGGATTCTATGATTAGGATTAAAATACACATCTGTCTTTTCTTCCAGTCCTCCCGTGGCCTTCTCTTTTGAGGAAGAGTGTGTGTAAAGATCTTATTGAAGTATTACATGCAAAAGCGTCAGATCGTACGTGTACAACTCAATCGATTTTCACAAGTGAATGCATCCTGGATTCTGACCCAGAAACCCCTGACGTGCCCTCGAAATATTGAAGCATGAGGCTTCCTGCAGGAAACAGCTTTAGGATTTCCTAAACGGAAGGCCAGTTGTGCCTCCACTATTTATTGAATAACCTAGGTTTTACTCACAGATGCAGAATGTCTGCTAATAGTCCCACAATTCCTTGGTCTATATCGAGCCTCACTATTTTAGTCCGTTGATCTGCCCGGTTTCATCACCGCCGTATACTTTTCATCAGTTGAAATACACAGTAAAATTTCAACACTGGCTGTTGAAACACAGCCCCGCCTCATTGCTCTTTTTTCCCCAGACGTGTTTTAGAGTCATTTAGTTCCATTCTACATCCCTTGTCTGCGCAGATCCTCTTAAGATGTTAATTGTTAATTTGGTAAGTGTATCGGTTAATGTAGGAAAAATTGGCTTTTTTTAGTGTTGTCTTCCTAAGAGCAAGCAAGGTTTGTCTTTCCATTTGTTCAGTGTTCCTTTTAAGTCCCTTGGCTGGGATTTTATTGTTTTCTTCAAATCGACCCTGCACGTCTTGTTAAGTTTATTCTTAGGCACTTTACAGCTTTTCATTGTTATTGCGAATATTTTCTTTCATTATAACTTCTAGTCTAACATTCTCACTAGTTATTTGTCTTTAGAAAGGCTATTGCGTTTTTGTCTATTGATTTTTCAAGTAGGCAGCCTCCTGCACTCATTCCAGATGGTTTTTCATTTGAGTCTCTTGAGTTTTTTCAGGTTTATAATTGCATCTGTCCTGTGATTTCATTTTATGTCTCCATGTTGAAACCTTCCAGTTAGCATTTTTATGTACTTAAGATTTCATCGCTTACAAAATGTAAACCCAACCCCATTGACTGCCTCCTTCCTCTTCTTTCCAGCCATTAAAACAGTTCTTCTCTTCACTGTTCTCATACCCTTGCCCGTGTCACTCCTTCACCCCCTCCAACCTGGCTGCAGTCATCCCTTCTCCACCAAAGTGATTCTTGATAAGGGCTCTGGTGACCTCCACATCTCTAAATCCAAATGTGGGTTTCATCCCCCATCTCAGGTGACCTGTCCCTCGCTTTAAGGACTGATGGCCACACCCCC